GGTAGTCTTTCTAATGCCGGATCCTGTACATTGTAGAATGAGTAGTGAAGAAGTAATTTATGTATATGCGAGTTCTAAAATGATTGAAAATGGATATTGTTAAAATTATATTTGTAGATTATAGAACAATCAAGAAGAATAGCACTGCAAACAGCACATAGATAGTTTGAGAACTGAGTGGCGTATTATACTTGTTGTTAAGAACTTATCAATTCGTAATATTTTTTAACTAAATTCCTTAATAAGTAGAATAATTTTAAGCAAATGTTATTCTTTGTTTCATGTTAAAAAAGTTAAAATTAATAACTGTTGATTTTTTGTCTTTGAAAAATATTTTGTTTCCCTTTTAGTTAATTTCGTGAGTCTTTTTCAATATTTTTCAATGGAATCAAATAAGTTATAAATTATTTTGTTATTGTAATTGTAAAATTATTAATTAAGTATACTATTTTCCAAGGAATATAATATAGGAATGATGATCCGTAAAAGACCTAGAAGACCTAAAGACCTAGTAGACGATATGACCAACAAGTTTGAACATTCGACAAGTACGGTTAATGACGTCACCTTTACTACGTAAACTACAAAATATAGGTACATTGAGATTTAATACATTAAATTATGAAACGTTGAATTCAAATAGAAATACGGATCGTGATTTAATTAAACGGATATCAAAAGGGTACACGACTGATGAGATTTTTATAATAAGATGTTTTACACTGCGGTAAAATCCAAAATTTTGGCACTAAATTGAATTTGGATTTAACCCACGGTTATAGTTGAATTGAGTCAGGATAATTAATAGACACAGAAAATACATAGACAGTAAATATTAATATATTTATAACATATAGGAGACTGGCAAATCTATTATACATTAAACACCAATAATATTTGATTATTATACTTTCTAACACTAAAACTACTATAGCGACAAAATTGAATAATTACGATTGATATCTGATACAAGCCTGCCATGTCCAGATCATGTCGAAGCCCACCAGTACAAAATCTACTTAACGCCATAACATTGTGCATTAGGAACACCATCTAGATCGGATAATACAGACATAACGGAATTATGAGTGATATCCACGATCCAATATCTAACAATAACACAAATATTTTATTTAAAACATCGTTAACAAAATCTATAAGTAACAAATTCATTAATAATCAAAGCTGTGAAGAGATCAATCTTCAGAAACGATAAATAAAATATAGGTACTAATTGCGTTGTTGATATAAAAAATGTACCGTTGTTTCTGTATTTTATAAAAATCCTACCCTAATTGTACTTTCCACTATCACATTTCGATGCTTTAAGGACTATATAATGTCAGCTAGCATTACGTGATACAGGCAATCCATATTGCTTCCATTTCTACGGTAAAATAAAACTGGTATAAAACTGCCCTTACGTTTGAGTGATGCAACAGACGGCATTTGCTTAAAGCGTCTCATCGATCAACACTCCGTTACTGGCATTTAGTAAACATGTTTTCTATCAACTTTGTCGATTATCTTATTAACACTATGCCACTATGCACTTCTGTCAAGGAAAATTCTATATCCCTCGGGATCTGATGCTTGAAACAGTGTAAACCGTCTCCGAGAAATCAGTGAACGTATAAAAATATACAAATAGGACATAATACCTTCATTTTTTGAAATCGGTGAAAAAAATTGGATAATATAAAAATAATTATCTTTACTTACCTATCCTATCCCGGTGTTATGCATTATTTTGGTTAGGCGTTCTTTTCTTTGCTATTCCGCTGACCAACGTATTCGTGACCAGTCTCCAAAAAACAATTTAACATCAAATTCTTAATTGTGCTTTTTGCAGGCCAAATATTTCAAAAATTATTTTAGTTTATATCGAACTTAATACTGATAATTTTTTTATCATGTTTATGTATGAATGTTATGACGATACAATATAAATTTAATTTTATCAAACGTAGTGTATCGGATATCCATAAATCTTCAACAAAAAACTAACCATCGCTTGCCTTCATATCATCTCCTCTATACTCCCGCTACTTACAAAACGAACTGACCTTAATAATGTTGATAAAATACATTGCATTCGATCAGATATCTAAATAGTAAATAATTTAATATCTTTAATTTCTCTAAAGTACTTTATAATATATTTTAAATGCTAGGTTTTTTAAATGTGATTTAGAATTTGGTTAGGCATTCAGGGTATACGGACGAGTACGTCATATTCTACATATGGGCGATTGAAAATTTTAAATTCAAAAACATTCATAATTATATGTCCACGCATTCATTATTATCATAATCAACTACTGTTACATTTAAAAGAACTAGTTTAAGTTTAAACTCTTTACACGATACTAATGAATACGAAGTTATATAGCTAAATATATAGATTTTGTAAAGTTTGCCCTTCGTAGCACGTAGCACTTTTTTTTTATATGTATATAACCATCGACCTTTTAGTACACGCTCGTCGTCCGTGACCCCTCTTGCATTGCTACGCTACTTACATACTAGGTGCAATAATAATGCTCACAATAATAAATCGAAATTTAAGAATTTCTATATAATTATAAATTATATGTTAAAAATAAACTTAACGTTCACTTATAATTGTACTAAATTTTAAACTTAACATATTCATATAACATTTATAAGAACTGCAACTAACATCTAAAAAGGTCTCTTCTTAATGCTTCGTATAATTTGTTTGTAGAATGATATATATCGAGCAATTTTGCAAGTGGTATCATCAGGTACATGTTATTTTGATATTTCTAGCCACGTCAGATAAAAACTTAAACTTAGTTGAAAGATGCAATTTTTTTAATTATATCCTCAAAATAACTCAGTCTTTAAATATAGACAAAATGATTTATAACATATTATATACTTAATTCATAAATATAGTAATTAATTGTTAACATTTGAGTTAGTAAAATAGTTATTAAGTTAGAAATATTGAGCAAATTCAAAAAAATAACTAAATTAGTACATACAATTTCTTGGAAAAAATATATTTATTTATCTTTTTTTGTGGCATTTTGAATTTTTTTTATTATATATTTTTTTGCTATATAATATATAATCAACTATCTTTTATATTAATAGGCATTTCATATATATTTTATATTGCTCAGAATAATTAAGAATTTATAAATAAAAAAAAGTTTATCTCGATTTAACTTGTTGTGATTTGAAAGGCTTTGAGCCAAATACAACTTAATAGTCTACCAAAATATTATAACAGACATTGAATAAATCTTTGAAGACAAAGGATATAAATCTATTGTTTAAAAAGCTCTAAGCTTTTTATACTGTGGTAGGTTCTTGTTACAGTTTTTGTTCAGTTACTTCAATCACCAATTTAATTAAAACAGTAACACGAAAAAATCATGCTCTGTAATAAAGCAAAGAAATGAAGAAGATACGTTGCAAGAAAGTTTTTTATCCTCATTCACTCGTCCAATATCTATTATTAAGTTAGCTATTACACTAATGCTAATTTTACTTACAACCGATATATACTCGTAGATAGTCGTATCTTATATTTTTAAAACTTGTATAACATCTACGTTATTTCTTCAATTTAGTAATTACGGGTGCTTATTAAGTCATATAATTTCAAGATATTGAAATATTTATATGCAATTTTGGTTACGTGAATCTGTAATAAACTCTATTTCAGAGCATAACCCATTAAAAATCATTTCGAACATGGTGTTTTAAAAACAACTATGAGATTTCCTATTTACAATCGCTTAGGGTTCCGTAAGTACCCACGACGGTATATATCAAGCGTCTTTAGTTATACTTGCAACCATTATTCACAGCCCACCATATTATTTAGGTTTATTAACATAAAAATATATTATAAAACTTATTTAAATATATTAGAAACTTATTTATTTTCAAAAAACTTAAACTTAAGTATACGAAGTAATTAAAATATATCCAAAACACCTACGGAACCCGCATGTTAAAAGCTATTCGGTCAAACAAAAATAATAGAACACCACTTATCGAATAATAAAATATTTAAATTTCACATACGTATATATTTTATAGATAATTTTTTTAATTTCATAATTTAAGTAGAAAATGTGATCTGTGCACTAAATTTAATACTGTGTCTGTGTATATTGATAATAACTGATTTATTACGTTTAGAAGGACAATTATATGAGGGTATTCTATAAGTATAAATATTTACATCTTACTCATAAACTCATGGCTATGCCTTCATATTCAATCATTGAATATTTTTTTTATTATTATTTAAATTATAAGACATAGCTAAAGAACGAATAGTTATATATTAGTTGCTTTAATCAATCTTATCACATTCCCTCATCAGTAATCACACTAAGTCCTATAGATGGTATATATGTGGACCATAAGAAGTAAGGATACAGGCACTAATTGTATAAGGATTTCCGTCTAATGAACCTAAACTCAATAATCTAGATTTTTGAGTCCAGTTTTAATGAATTGTTCTATTATACATATAATAATGAAATACCTCCATCTATTCTAATAGAGTTTTATATTAATATAACTCAAAATAAATATAACACTAAATGAGCGTGTAATTGAAAACAGCTCAAAATTAATGATACTACTTATTAGATGAACTTTTTGAATGTGGGGTAGTCGTGCACTCACTCACTTAGGTATTTCAGAAACTCACAATATAGGATCAGGATTGCAGTAATATTAGGTTTATCTATTATATACTACACATCAATATATTATGTATTGACTTAAAATTGATTTTTCATCATGAATATAATAATAACTTACATATGACTGTCTCGTCAGTGCTATTTTTTTTTGGGATTTTTTTATCTCCCTACTTCTTTGTGCTAGGGAATTTTGCAAATAGCAAGAGTTAATATATTTATAAAAAGCACTTGGCCGAATATATATGCTGTTTCATCGTTAAGTCGTCTTAACGCAATAATCGGTATCCATAGTTAGTGCGTTTAATTTTCCTCGCCGAGTAATACCAAGTCGTCTGCAACCACGTCAGAAACGTGCAAGTAAATGATCCAATACATTAAGTTAAAGCAGACGAAGCACACGGGGAAAACGATGCGAGAATACTTGTCGATGTCCGATGGCGTTGTACCGAGAAGTTTGTTGATGCCCTGAAATATTTTTTTATCTTGGCCTATATTAATTTTAAAATGAAAACAAAAGAGCTAAACAACATTGTAAAAATTCGCCAAAATTGTTCGCTTTGGAAATCGCATTATGCAAACTTTCGCATTGCTTAAAATAACATCCACAAACTAAACATAAAGTCCTTAGGCTACAAACCTTAGACGCCTGAAGTAAATGTGCAGCAGCTTCCTCATCTACTGGTGGAACAGGTACCGAGACAGGTACAGGGACTGGTGCCGTTGAAGGTCCGCCTCGAGCTCCATTGATCGTATTCACCTTAGGGTCGTGAAACTTGAAGCGTACTTCCTGCGTGTGGGGATTATAAGACTAAATTAGACGTAGAAATTAGTTCTTTATTACAATAAACTTTTTATATGAGAGAAATTATGATCCTCACAGATGATCGACTCGGTGGTGCAGGTCGGCTTAGCGTTGTAGTCCTTGGTGGAGGTAAAGGCTCAGGTCCAGAAGGTCCAGGAGGTCCATCCATTTGTAGTTTCTTTTCAGCCGCCATTTTCTGGACAGCAGTGAACCGTTGTTTTCGCATCTGGATCCTTTTTGCCATGTATCCCACAGTCGCGTACTCTGCAATAAATATTATTAATCACAGTGTGAAGATTCACATATAACGCTGAGCTAGTAGCGCATATCAACGATAATATTTATATTTCATAAATAAGCAAAATTAAAACGCATCGCATACAGGATATACATGTAAATTTATATTAAATGTCTAGAAGAATTGACAGATAACAATACGCGAATTGCATTTTGTACATCATTTAAGACATCTATTGATCTATTGTTACCTAGCAAGCTTGCGAAGACCATAACGAAGCAGGTGCCCAAGTAAACATCGATGGACTTGACGTATGATATTTTCGGCAAGGCAGCATTCGTTGAAGACATAAGCGTAGTCATTGTCAACACGGTGGTGACACCCAAAGATACTCGAGCTGGTGTAGCATTTCGATTTAGCCAGAAGGAGACCCAGGAGATAATGACGATCAAACCAGATGGGATGTAAATTTGTATCAAGTAATAGCCCATTGAGCGCACGAACTGAATTTCACATGCCAAACGAGAATAATTTCCTGGAATTGAAAATGTTTGATAATATTTTACAATCTAGCTTTACGTATTAAATTAAGTATTTACGAGTAATATGGCAATGGTAAAATAAAAGCGATAGACGTGCAGAAGGAGGTATGATAAATAAAAAACCAATAAATGTAACAAAATGATTTGTGCTTGTACCTGTCGTTAATGAGATCTCCATAGCCCTCTGACGATGACCAAGCACCTTGAATTGGGGCAATGATACTTCGCTCGAAACGCCTACAGAGTTAGGTCCCTCGTTCCACTTATATCGGATGTCCCGCATGGTGTAGCCAACTGTACCATGCAGAGATATGGAACGATAAAATATACACCCATCGCACTGGGGTTTCAAATATCCAAAATGAATGAGTTTAACTACCAAAAGCTCTGTGTAACGACGTAAAGATAATTGCGTCGTATGAGAAAATTTTAAGCGTATTGCTTTAACCGTCTATCATAAGCGTCATGGATTGCGCACGCGTCGTGCATAGTTTTTCATCTTACAGTTTTATGCCACCTTGACACACTTTTTTCAAGCAAATACGGAAATTAATTGGAAAATGTTAGATTTCTAATAAAATATACTAGGTATGTAATATTTACACGTGATAATTATTACTTACAGCTTTCGATTTCAATATTGCACAATTGTCGGTCCATAGGGAAATATTGCAAGTCCATAGGACATGACGCGGTTATGGTTAATCTGAAGCAAAAGAAAATAATATTTTTTTTTATAAAATTCAATAGTCATACAATTATTTTACACTAGCGGCTCAACCTCACTTCGGTCGCGTTGGCCTCTGGAAAAAACAAAACTATCCCCCAGGAACTGTATATTTTTCCTGGATAAATACAGACTATAACCTATCTCTGTGCCAAATTTCATCCAGATCCGTTCAGCCGTTCTGGCGTGAAAGAGTAACAAACATCCATACTGACAAACTTTCATACTTATAATATTTATTCAGATATTATATTAAGTTTACCACCAACGTAACAGCTGTGGCTCAGTCTCAAACCTAGCGACAAGTTTTATGAAAATGGACAGCATATTCTCCATTTAACACTTGAGTCAAAAATTAATAACAATCAACCCAAAAAATTACGATTTTAAATAAAATAAATTGGCCAGCGTGGTGGACTATGTATGGCCTGACGTTAAAAAATGGCTGAATACATTAAAAAATCTTATTTATATAGCTAAATTACCTTATGCTCCGTGTAATAGACCCTGAGTGATGAATCCGAATAAACTCGTTGCTCGTTGTTGCGATGTGGAAGTAAGATTGCTTTTCGTTCACGAAGAAAGTGTCCGGCACCCAGATATTCCGTATGAATTCTGAGCCCACGGAGAGTGTTTCAACGCCAGGCCTCTTCTTGTAGGCGAGTCGTGGATCCGTCCAAAATTGCCGAAAGTAGAAGTCCAAAGTAAAATCCTATTAAATAAAAATTGATTAAAATATATTCAGTACAAAAAGGAAAAGACAATGCATGTTTCATTTATCCATGTTATATTATTCTGAAGGCTTTCCGCCTGTCACTGAGACACGTATTGTCTTAATGCTACACACAGAGCAGCAAGGTAGCCTTCACTATAACATTCATTTTTAATTAAGACATTTAAATTAGAGTGCAAAAATATACAACACCAAAACTAAATTATCTGTTATAAATTGTTAATTACGATATATATCTACGAATTAGTACTGTGCAATTATATACATATACACATTTATAAGCGAGAGAGAAATAGATAGATTGAAGTCATAAACTAGCTCCTGCCTACTAGCTTTACACAGAAATCTTCTTATATATTTTTTTTTATTTTATTTTTTTAATAAAATTATGAAACATGATATCATATAGTGCAAAGATTTCAAGTATTAATTTATGGAAATGAAATTTATATATACTTTATGGTAATATACATAATTGAATCAAAAAATATGTTTTTTCTATATGCTTTTGTTAACAAACAAAAATTTTAATAAACTATAATTCTAGTTATTACTTCATTAAATAATATCCAATTAAAATAACATACAAACTCACACCCCACGACTTTTGATTAGAAAAATAGATTTGAAGTATAGATATAGCATAGCTTGCTGCCAAGTGCAATTATTAGAAAAACATTTACTACACAGATATAAATAAAATTTGCAATTATAAAAGGTACATGTACTAGGTTTTTGAAATGTTAAGCAAAATCAAATCGCGATTTTAGGGTCAAATGGAAAATACAATCAAGTAGGATAACTGCAACATTTAATTTTGAAGAACTTTATTTTTTTTTCATTTCGCCTTTATATAATAAAACAAATCAATCTTTATTTTTCTATGTATATTGTGTATATGACAATAAAAAACTCATTTTGATGCATTACTTAGGAATTTCTATACGAATACCGAATACCAATGCTTCGCGAACAGTTAAAAGAAAATTGGGGTAACTAATTTTATGTTTATCGAACTATTAAGCAGTGTTAAAGGTCAAATTTACCCTCTTGATTGTAATACAGTTTCGAAAAATAATTCAGTTCTAAATTTTACTTGTGCCCGAATTTAAAATTTAATAAATTACATGTACTTTTTATGGAAAATGCAATAGATCTAATACGGAAAGGCCACGTCATAAAGTGACTTTACAAGTCCCCTTGATTTGGTTTTCCACAAGGGGTTATATACCCTGAACTCAAACAGACTTTGTTCTTTGAAACCGTTATCAAGGGTTGTTAGTTTTTTGAGATTTATCTCTGATGGTACATCTTACTTGACACTGACAAACGAACAAACGCGATATATAAACTTTATATAAATATATACTTTTAATTGAGAACAAAATACATATAACACAATATAAACAAAGTTCCCTAGTCCAACCGGAACTTACTGGACGGTACAAACATCAAACATTCATAGCAAATCTACTAAAAGTAAGTAAGTTGCGAGTGGCGAGTTGAAAGTTAGAGCGCCATTGGGAAACAGTATTGAGAGCCCCACATTTACACAGATAATCAAGAAACATAAAAAGCTTAAAAAAAAAGAAACAACAATAGAGCAAGTCCACGAAGAATTACATGGAGAAATGCTTAATAGCAGAGTATAAGTTGAAATAACGATATGACCAACCCGAACGGCACACCACTCTTTGCCAATATGACATTTTGTGAAAGTTAATCAATTAAATAATTTATGATGTTAATAATTAAGAGTAAGTGAAGAGCCATCCGGGCAGTCCAAGTCAAGACAGTCAAGTTCAGACTCCAACACGCCTGCATGCTCGCAGCCTTGTAACTAGGGCTACTCGTGTCAAGCGAGAGCTGACAGTGACGAGTACCATGAGCACTTCGGAGACAGAGCTGATCGAGAGCACATACATGGTGACACCCACCTCCACTGGCGGACCTGCAATCAAGTCCAACATGAGTATGGCGCATGGAGCGCCGTGAAAACCAAACCAGAGGACGATGACGTGATTTAATCTCGCTCGATCGAGCAAAATTAACCGCTCGACCGAAAGAGTTTAACCTATATCCGCCTCACTATTTTTGCTACTTAATAATACTTTCTTATATACCATTTTCACTTCAGATAAGGAGCTGATGGATAGCACGTACATGGTGACGCCCACATCCACAGGTGGTCCTGAAATTTTATATCGGTTACATCTACCGCTTTGTTTATTTCCCCCTTTTAACTCACTACGGATTTTTTTTTTGAGTAATGCTACGAGTACTATTTAAATAACTAATTAATATTGATTTTTTTCGCGCTCGTGTCTTTTAAATATTGATGAAAGAAATATCGCTTGAGATACTATTTTTTTTTTATTTTACATACATTTATAGGTTTCCGTTAAAATAAGGCAAGAATATTTAGATAAAACTTTGTGAACATGTTTTCTTTGTTTAAAATTAATTGGAATATTGTTTAGATTTTAGTTCGCGGATTGAGATACTAACAAATTAACCGTTTGTACTTTATTTTTGTTTGTTTTTTTTATGTTTTATATTATGGTATATTATGAATAGATTAAAAAAAATTAGTACTTTCTCAAGTAGATCGTTAAAGTTTTATAAACTTACGTTGGTACTGGGTCATAACGTGACACATTCACGGTTTACAAATTCCAGTCCAAATTGTTTATCCTTCAGCCCCCCATAATCATTGATATTTCCGAATATACAAACATGTAAAGTACAAAATTAATTTGTACATTATATATATTAACTTGTATATAATACATATAGTATATAATTATATAATAATAAATTTTCTCATAAAAATCATCGAAATGAATCAATTTTTTAAAGCAGGCTTATATTATATGTCTATCTATAATAGTCCTTAAAAGTCCAAAAATGAAATAAAATGTCCATACTTAGTGCAAACTAAAACCTAACTAAACTAAAAATGATAAAGCTCGTTAGCCGCATTAAGCACAATTGGAAAATTTTATATAAGTATATAATTTATTCGAATCTTGTTTAATTATTATAAGTTATTAAATCTAAAATTTACAAACATTAGATTACTTTATATCTTGACATCAGATTATATGCACTGTCTATTATTAAAAAAATATTCATGCAAATATACAGTGTGCACTATTTATTATTATTATATATTAAATCGTCATAAATATCGTTCAAAGTTGCACTAAGATTTATATATTTGCAATTTGAATATAGGCTTTTATTAATAAATTATGTACAAAAATAAGGGTAAAGTGAACTACAAGCAGTATGTTATTATGTTAATGCATCTACATTTTAAATGCATGTAATCTGATAATCATTGTAAATAATATGGCGGATCGCAATATGAAAAAATATTGTAATATTCTAAATAAGTAAAACTCACCGTCCTCTATACGTTTGGCATTTATATCTAAAACTAAAAGCTAAAATTGAATACTTAAAAATTGCACTAATCTACAATAATTTAATATAATTAAATTTCATATATTCCATATAAAACATTTCTGTTATCAATTATTTATTTATACAATAATAAAATACAATTTTGATTCGATATTGATTCAAATTTTTCATGCAGACTGAATGTTCCATTCAACTTTTTTTAGAATCATCTTATAATATAAAGCATTTGGATACTTTGCGTTAAAAAGTTTGTTTATAATTCAATATGAGAACATAATTTTGTTCTCTTGAAGAGAGATTTTTAATTAAGTTTTGCTTTATGAGAAAAATGATTATATTTAAGATGAACTGATTAACGCGCAGCTTCCATTTATTATAGACGGTTATAAGCTATCTTTGTTACAAAGACGTGTTCTTAAACAATCTCCTCTATTAATAGATTACATAATCTTCAATATAGAAATATTCATATTTACAAATTGTATGTATATGACAACGTTGTATGAAACATATCGTCCAAAAAAATATTTAATGTTCTTTGTTAACAAAATATATTGGTTATTTTAAAGCTTAGCCCTAGATTTCCTTTATTTTAAAGTCTACAAGCCACAGTCCAAACACGTTGCCGACTTACCTCCATAATTCGGTCTCACTCTTTTGTCATAACTTACACTCAGCGAATCTAATATTGCCGAGATGTTTACATCACCAAACATTCCTCCTCCTCCGGATCCCCTGTAAAAAAAGGTTATTTTAAAAAAAATAGTCTCTCCCGTGACCATGGTTGCTGTAAAACATTTAAATAAATACCAAAAATCTAAATAAATCCGCGAAATAATCCGAAAAGATAGTTTTATTTAAATTTTGAAATATATGCGTAAATCTAAGAAAGTATTAAAACTTACTTATTTATGCATTTACTGGTTTTTTTAGGCGACGCACATGACCGATTCTATGTAACTGACGCTTATATTTCACAAACCAAAAACAAATTTATCCCACGGGAACCATACATTTTTCTGGGATACCAAGTAACCTATTTGTTATTCTGATGTATGAACTATATTATTGTAAAGTTTTATTAAAATCCAATCAGTAGTTTTTGTGTACTAAGTTGTATAAGTTACTATAGTTTTTTAACTATCCCACGGGAACTCTTTAATTTTCCGTTAAAAGGTTCCGTAAAAGTATCTAAGATGTTGACCGGGAATTTTGCATGGTGGTACCTTATAGGTTCAAAATTTTATTTAAATCGGTCCAATAGTTTTGGAAATTAGCCTGTACAAACAGACAGACAGAGAAACAAAAAAGTTGAAAAAAATTGGATTTGTTATATTTCTCTTCTTACATCCCACTAACTCGGTTTATAACATTTTTTTCTATGTACAAACATTCGATAGTTTTATTATAGTAAAGATTAGAATTAATATTTGATTTAGATATGCTGCTATCAGCATAATAATACATAATATCATTGTTTGAAGTCCCCTTTGAAACATTGGAAATTCATAGAAATAAAACCTCTTTGAAACGTCGGAAAAGCATATTTTAATCTCAAAGCTGCTGTCAAAGTCATAAATGAAATGAGGATGTAACGAGATTCGGTCGAACTAATAATGTTATCTTGCAAACTGTCAGCTTAGTAAGTCGAATTATACGGCACTGCACTTTCATTTGACTGCGTTCCTTTTGAAGATTATGTTAAAACAAAAAGAATTTCACTCAAACTTCTAATAATTTTTCCTTACGTTGTAAATTTTTGAAATGCTGAAATTCTGATATTGCTCTATTATTTATTATCTGAAATATTTATTATCAGAATTATTTGAAACTCGGTATGTATACTCGTCAAAAAAATTGAATGTTATAGCATTTTTAAAAATTTATCCTGTTAGGGAGTAAAATAGGGGATGAAAGTTTGTATCAAACTTATGAAACTACCTTTTTAGAGTTTTTTTTTGTAGGTTTAGCTCAAACGAAGCCGCGGGTTCTGCTAGTTTTATTATATGAATACTAATGATCGTCCCGTAGTTGAAAATCGGTGACAATTCTGATGCTATAGTAAATTTCTATCCGTATTCTTTTTTAAATATCTTCGTATAATATAAATTGTTCGTATATTGCGTGTTGTTATCACTATAATAAACTAGAACAAATATTGTGATAAACAGTAGCCTGTCGCATAACATATCTGTTTCCACTTCATTATAAGCTTCTGCGACAAATGCGTGGATGTAAAAATGTGTGCATCAAATCATTATTTTATACGAAGAGAATTATAAACGCTTAAAAGTTGATAGTTAATTGATATATGTACTATTAGTAAGTGATAGAGTTAGATAATAATTGATTGATTGATTGACTCTCCTTCTTACTTTTTCTACGCGTGTAAATAATATTGCTATATTTAATTATAATAGTTATAAAAATTTTAAAATGTTTAGAATTCAAATCATCAAATATTGTAGGGTACTTTGGTGCCGTTTTGTAATTTTTGAAATCATTTATGTAAAATTGTGGGTATGCACTGTCTGTAACAAGTATATAATGCCTTTGAGAAGTCTAAAACTTTAGTCTCTCCCGTGATCATAATTGCTGTAAAGAATTCGAAACGTCGGGAACCAAACATCAAAATAAATGCGCTAAATAATCCGAAAAGATACTCTTAGATAATTTTAACAACCTATTTCTTAAAAAAACTTAGTCAAAGCTCTAAATACGGCGTTTACGCCGTGTTCTAGAAGTAGGCGGTAATATCCATACGCACATTTCCAGCCATAATGATGAAAAATGTACTACACCATATATACCTATAATATATATATATATATATATATATATATATATATATATATACTTCTATTTTGATACTATAAATGAAATTTTCGGTATTTGCCTAGATAGAGATTGATTGGTTAGTGGCCATCTTTTACATAATGTAATTTTTAAACAATATCATTTTTGATACGAGAGGTACCATAAAATTACAAGTGCTTAACACAAGTTACTTTTAAAAGTCAAAACATACACTAGATAAAAGAGGTGACGGTGAAACAGATTTTAAGTCATAAACTAGCTTAAAACATATAATAAAATTCTAACTGAGCCAAATTTGTACGTGAAATATCTTTTGGAAACTCATTTTAAAATTTTTTATAAACTTAATATAGTATAACTATTTTGTAATCGCTTGTTGAAGCAAAGAAAAAAATTGTATTTTAGCATAAAGGAGGATAAGCGTGGTAAGAACTTAAGCATTGCCTAGCTTCATCAGACTTGAGGTTTATCTTTTGTTACCGTTTTGTTAAATCAAAGACTTCGTTATCGTGCTCTGTAAGCTGCAAACTTTGGTGGCATTAGATATGTAAAGTCTTTTAGAAATATTATTCTGTTTTAAATATAAAGAGAACTAGTAATAATCGCTAATATTTTTATATTATACTAGCGACTCAGCCTAGCTTTACTCGGGTTCACCTCTGGAATAATAAAAACATATCTATCCCGCGGGAACCGTACCTTTTTTGGGGATAAAAAGTAACCTATGTATTATTCTGATGTATGAGATATATTATTGTAAAGTTCCATTAAAATCCATTCAGTAATATTTGCGCGAATGTGTTACAAAAATCCATACATCTATATTTCTTTACATCTAGACATCCATATATCCCCACAAACTTTCGCATTTATAATATTACATAGTAGGACTAGCGGGTCATCATCGCTTTGCTCGGTCTCGACCCTAGGTACGTTTTAGCCACTAGTATGAAATATAGACAATAAATCGTATATATACATTTGTATTATGACTTGTTGTGGGATTTATTATAACGTGTTTTCCCGTGGAGATGACATAATCTCCCGCGGGACAAAGTAGCCTATATCACTCTGCAGCCCTCCAACTATCTCCACACAAACAACCACGCCAATCCGTTGCTCTGTTTCAAAGTGAAAGAAGGACAAACAAACAAATAAATAAATAAACACACTTTCACATTAATAATATTAAGTATGGACTAATACAGCATCTCAATTTGACGTATCGGGATAAAAGTTATATTATGCTAATCTCCGTATAAAAATTGTTTTTAGGCAAACGTCAAATTATTTATTCCATTGACGCGTGAAATTAGAACAAACAAACACTTTACAAACTATATGTATATTATGTACTATCGACTCACCCTCGCTTTACTCGGGTTCGTGCCTAGGTTGATTCCCCACACAAACTTTCATTCACATTTTCACCCCCTTAAGGGATGATTTCCATGATAAAAAGTCTCCTATGTCCTACCTCCTGAGATCTTCTGTTGAGATCCTCTCAACCTATCTTCTTACCAAATTTCACCTAAATCGGTTCAATAGATCCAGAGATCACCCCCTACAATGTCACAAACTCACAAACTTTACCTCTTTATAATATTAGTATACATTAGGACTAATCTGAACCAATCAATTTAGTTGAAACTAAATAGACATGACCGTAGCACCAATAGTATAGAAAAGTCATATTATATTAATCTACTACGCACTCACTCTCGTTTCGCTTAGTTGAGTTGCGGCTTACTGGCCATTTTTATTACTATCAGACTACACGTTACTGTACGTTCGTAAGTTACGTTATAGCGAGTGCCGGACTTAACCTTAGCGCCGCCACTGTTCATAGTAAAAAATGCCGCCCTATTATCGAAATTTCGCATAAAATGGGTATAGTTTGGATAAAGTTTTAATTTTTTTAATTATTAATTTATGGAAAAATGTAGAAAATAAATTTATTAATGATATCATTTTTTCGATAATTGTACCTACTATTTAGTTAATATTTGTTTTATTTTTCATTTTTTGTAAAATAAAAAAGCATTTTCAATAACGCGAAGAAATTTTTGTCTTGCCCTCCTCCAAATTTTGCCGCCCAAGTGCCTCTAGTGTAAATCCAGTTGTTTATAACTATCTGTTTCAAAGTAAATTATTGTAAGGTAGCATTTTAATATTTTAAGTTTTAATGGAAAATAATATATTTGAATAATTTGTAATTATTTATGTATATGGCATATAGTTATGTGAACTTGACCTATAGGAAAGTATTTAAAACAAAATAAAAAGAACATGGAGATCCTTTTACCTTCCGGCGCTTGACATAGGACGTCATTACCATACTGTAGTAACTGGTCATGGATTGTTTGTAATACTAAAAATTCTTGTTGTAAATTATGTAATTCATTATTTAAAAGAGTAACTGTTGAGTTTTTTGCCGGCTCTTCTCAGCAGAACTGCTTTTCGAGCCGGTGGTAGCTTCTACACGGACAAACGTACTTAAGATTATAAAAGCACTGAATATAAGTATAAATGCAAGGAATATCTTGAAGTTTTATTAGGAACTCCTACATTATTAACAAAATTTCGCATTTAAAATATATATTTCCTATTTTTTATATATGTCAATAATTTACATATATGCTAATAATTTAAAATATGTACACTTTGCTTCAATAATCGCTATCGAATCCCAGCCAAAAACGAATCTGAGACCTTCCACAACACAATTTCAAGTGACAGCAAAAAATAACATTTAAATACATGACCGTTCAAAAGTTAAAAGAAAAAGCTTTATTTGTAAAAAAGAACTAGAATTGTTGGAACAACGGCAGAACTTTTTATTTTCCATCGAGGAATTAGTTTTTATACGTTTTCTCGTACTATTAAAATTCAAATAGATAGAGCTTTATCAATATAAA